TGCCGGTCTTGAAAGCTGATGACCCATATCCTTAAAAGGACAACTCTTACCTCTCCAAAGCCACCTTTGCCCAGCACTCGGAACTCATAGAAATACTTCTCAGTTACTGGCTGCTTCTCAAAAACTTTCCATTGGAGAAATTTGTCATAGAAGGGGCTGGTCTGGAAGTCCTGGAAGGGCTTGCCTTTAAGGAAGAGTTTGGTTTCCTCCTTGGCCAGGTGCATGACATTCTCATAGTCTTTTGCAGTAGCTGCCTGGCATTTGCTGGCCAAGTCAGAGCTCATGAAAGCCAGATAGTTTTTGGAGCCTGCCTTAAGAAAATTGGTGATCATATTCTCCATGGTACTGCTCTTGACATTTTCCTCTGCCAACTCCCAGTTTGACACCTCATCCAGGAAGTCCCTAGCTACCAAGTATTCTGGCACTGTCTCCAAGAAGTCTCTGAAGAATTTCTTGCCAATGGGCTGCTGCTCACAGATGCTGTCATAATCAGCAGCAATGGACTGTCTAACCTCTCCGCATTGATCAATCTTGGGCAGTGAAAGGCTCTTACGTCTCTTTTGCATCTCCTTGGTGTCTCCATCTCCACTTTTCCTTGCCTGCAGATAGGCTGTGTTGGCAATCAGGTTGTCAAGCCCCCCCATGTCACACATCTTGGCAAGCTCTTGGGGTGGCAGAGCCTGGTTGAGACAAAATGAGTAACTGGCCCAAGTGCTGTGCTGCAGCTGCCCTGCACTTCTCCCTGCTAGTGGTGTGTGGGGGCTTCTGAAAAACACCAGAGAGACTAACTGCTTTTGCATTAAATACCTCTCAAGGATTTTCACTAAGTACCTTTAGGTATACGCACCATTTGTGGAAAGTGATTGGTAAGAGGTTTCTCTGTAAGGAGCTTTGAGTTTGCTATGTATAGCTGAGGGACGACATCCTGGGCAAACCTTCTCACTGGTGGCACCAGACGCACGCAGTTCAGCTGGTGGTTGTCAGAATGGGCTCTGATAACCTTTAAATGTATCAAGATCCCCTCTACATGCACTGTCACTGGCTGCTGAGAACATGCAGAGATTCCTGTCTGCAATACATGCAGACACCAAACTCGGTGGCACTCCGGCCACAGTTAGCAGGACAGCCTCGTATCTCCCTCTCTCGACACAGAGAACACCAATGTACTAAGAATTACGTAAGCTGGGATATGGTTTTATAAAAAGCTTTTATCACAAATCTGCCATGTCTGAAACAGAGGTTGACACAGACAAACACGAGTCACTGAGCTTTAAATTATCACACAATTAAGCGCTTTGAGCACCCACACTTCCAAAACTCAAGTTCTAGTCAGCATCAATGACGCTCAGCTCCACTTTGTGCAAACCTTGATGCCTCATGTGGCTGTGTCTGAGCGGATTACATGCAGAGGCTAAGACCTGCTGCTGGTCTAAAAATAATGATCCCTATATACGAAATAATGGATAGTTCTGACTTCATCTCACACCCACAGAAAAAGGAAAACCACTTCAAATGACCAGCCAAATCTTGCCAAGACACTTCCATATGTTATTGTGGTCTCAGTTTATTTTCCCTGCTGAGCTTTGTGACAGTAAGTGGCAGGATGAGAAGGTGGCAACGGTGTATGGCTGAGGTGGCATCAACAAAGGGACAAAGCTGATTATAACCAAGTGAAGGCAAATTCCACCTGACTTCACTCACTGGCTCCATACCAGGAAGTCTGTGCCCCATTTTTTTCCCCAAAGAATAAAAATCATGTGTGGCACTTACTAGGCTAAGCCCCACTTCTGCTGTGGGGTCATGTGATTTGGCTGCTAAAACTTTATTTAAATATACGGAAGGTATTATGGGAACAAGAAAAGCAGTTCCATGATTCTTCCAGTAGCAATGGGGTCAAGCTGTACTCTTGAGGTCAAGGTCAAGTTTCCTTTTCTCTTTTTTCACTCAGAGCAAGTTGAAGAGCTGAATCACAAATGCTAAACATTAGGAGTAAAACCAGGCACCTCTCAGACTCCCTACAGTAAGTGCTAAGCCCTTCTTGGCTGCTTTTTGTCACTCTGCTACTATGCAGTATTTTGTTTTTACATGCTTAATCCTGTCTGGATTGAATCCATTTGACATATAACTCATGCTTCTACGCTACAAAATTAGATTAGAGGTGTGTTTTTCTAGCTGTGATTGAGAGGGCCATCCGTTGCAAACTGCTGTGTGTGCACGAGAAGGCAGTGTACTCCAAAGCAGAGTATTTGAAAGTCTTGCTTGTACAGCAATCGCTAATTCTGCCAGGTGAATGCAAGCATGCAACAGGAGAAGGTTACGTAAAGGGCTAAATAATGCAGCCAGCAGAGTAAGCAAAACTGAAAAAAGTCAAAAAGAAGAAATGCGGAATTCTGCTGGTGGCTTTCCTGAAAATGGTGCCCACAGCAACATAGTCCTATAATATCCTGGGTACAGAAAGGCAAGAAAGGAGGTAATAAAAGCTTTAATTTCAGGTCCTAAAGTTCAGCAGGGTCCTTTTTACATTTAGCAAAAACACCACCACAGCTCAAACAGTAGCGGTACGAATGGCTGGTAGCTGGGGACCTAAGTGTGAACTCAAGTTTACACCAGCTATTGATGTATTCATGTTTAAGTAAATCAAGAAAATACCTGATGTTTATGGTATCTGCATAAGACAGACACATTCACAGCTCCAAAAAAATTATTCTGCTCTGTTAATTAGAATCTTTCCTTATTTCTATGGAACATAAACTTCCTCTAAAAAAACGCGACTTCATAAAAAGCAAAGTGAAACAATATGATCTGTGGACTCCAGTCGCTTTTGAGAGAAGACTCTAGCTAGATGTGCTGAATTATCCTAATCTGCCCAGCATTTGTTGAACAGTGGAGAAAAGTAGTTCAGCATTAATCTATTAGTTGATAAAGGCTATTTAAGTTAGTGTTACCTACTCATAACATAGTATGTTTGGGTGAGAAGCAAAACTGATTTATTTTGCATGTACAAGAAGTCAACAAACTCGGGACTAAAAATGGGTACTTATTAAGAACGATGGTAATGGAATATCAGGGTATGATTTGGAATGGAAGAAAATTTCTCTGGTGCAAAGTTCATGGAAAGACTGGGACTTAAGCTAATCTTCTCTAAATCACAGAGAAAATACGCAGGACTTGAAATTCATTACCTCATATTCTAGGTGACCCTCTAATTACAATACACAAGCAGATACACACAAATATCAGCTGCTTTGATTTTAGCATTAACTTTCCTAATACCTCATTTGTGTAAACATCTGTTTGAGCCAACACTTTGGAAAACCTCTACAATTAAACTTCTCAGCTACTCGTCATGCACGTGACATGACCTGAAAGCAGGGTGAAAATTACTTCAGTACTTTCCATATTCACCTATAAACCAAAGCAAAATGAAGAAAGAAGTCCTCTGATGGGACTAGATGTACATAATAGAGCTTAGAGGGTGAAGCCTGGGACTACTGTAACAGTGACACAGAGGATTTTTTTGATCTCTGTACGTAATGAGACAAAAGCTATATTTAAAAAATTCGGAACATTTTAAAAATAAGATTACAAGTATTAAACAAAAACACAGTAAACTCTGCATGTACGCTTGATGACACAAAGACTGCCATTAGAACTACTTTGCACAGTGAAGATAAACCTCTTTAAATATACTTAAACAGAACTAGATAGAAATACATCTGCTGAGAAATGCCATTAATCTTAAGTGTTTAAGACAATAATTTTGAAGTAAACAATGATATGCATCCAATATTGCTTCAATTTTGCCCAGGTTTATTAACCATTTTATCAAGCCTGAATTTGTTACAGACTTAAAGCAGTAACTCAACCTCTCTATTACATATATTAAACCCCCCCTCCCAGCATATGTTCAGATTAATAGTAATTACTTTGGATATTTAGGGAAATGACAAAGTCAGAGGCAAGCACTTAAATATTTGTAAGAACAAAATCACGATTCATATAAAAAAGATGATATATTGCGGATTTCCACAAAAATTAAACAATGCTTTCTCCCACTTCCAAAACATTGTAACCAATAAAATGATGATAAAGAAAGTTCTATTAACTAAATTTTCATGAAACCACAATTTAACATTTTTCCCTAGAGTTAATTAGTACCTGCTTTCCTTGGGATATTTAAATTATCTGTTTTGTTTGCTTTCTGTATTAGTCAGCTAACCAGCAAGACTGTTTATGCCCCTAGTTAACTGATATCAAATATGTGTCTTTGTACCAGATACGTGTCTCTGGATTAAAAATACATGTCTCCATGGTCTTTAACAGAAATATAAATAAAACAATTATTGAGGCGGTTAAATTTTAATACTATGGTTGTAGAAATCATGTATAGAATATAATACAGCAACAGACTTAGAGATACAACAAAACAAAATTTTCTAAAGTCATAAAGAAAACACCTAAATTAGAAATGTTTAGTGTGATGGCAAAAACACATAGCAACTGCTTTACACACTATTCATTTTAGATTAAAAACCAGAATACTTTCTAAAAAACTCACCAACTGTTTTTGTATATGGTATTACTTAGAAAACAATTTCTTTATCCTGACAGTAAACTATGCAGCATATCAGACTTAGAGGTAAGGTCGCCCTTTCAAATTAATTCATTTGCCTATGCAAAAACATTAAATAAACTGTATTTAGGGTACAATCTGCACCACTACATTTCTATGCTCTGATACAGTTAACACATGAATTGTAACAGATACATTTATTAATGTAGTGTCTCTCTTTTTTCAGTTGTGGAAATATCTGCAGTAAGACTGACCATTGCCTCCTCGTACAGCAAAGAGCATACAACAAAACCACACTGATCTCGTAGCAGATAAATGAAATAAATGATGCCATGATTGACATGTTCTATTCTTCTGTATGAGCACGTGGCATAAGACATACACTATTCCAACAAGTTCAACAGGAAAAAAAAACCTTCCAGTGTTTTTATTTGCCTATTCTCTGGACTACCCAGTCCTGCTGGCAGAGGGGACAGCGATTATTCTGTTTCACCCACAAGGACATGCAGCAATTGTGGAAGGAATGGTTGCATTCTCCCCAAACCACTGAAAGAGAAGAAAGAACATGTTCCAGTCACACTCAGCTGTCCAATCAACACCTACAGCAAGGTCCAAACTATCATTCTCAGACGTTTATAACCACTGCAAACTTTAGAGACAAAATGGGTCATCACTGATTTATCCACTGAGATTGGATTATTATGGTCATTTCTGATGATACTCAGTTCTCTACCATCAATCCTTGCACTTATTTCCAAGTAGGAAAGAAGAAATGCATATATTCTCACCTTCTTGTATAAAGTGATGCAGTTTTGTGAATGTATGAACACATTCATCAATTCTGTCCAGGAAGTAAGTGCAACTAAGTTCTTCACTTTATCTTCCCCAGTACCAAAATACAGCCAACGCACTACTGACTGACTATAACACAAGAGCATCTCACCAAATTCTCATCTGAAATGCAGTGTTTAAACTTAAATGTATGATACCAAGGAGGCACATTTGACACAGCATATAGCCTCAAAATGGGATCTTAGACCAGAAGTTATTCACAGGCTACAACTGTTTCAACACAACAAAAAGGGTTATCTATTGTCCATCTACTCATGAACAGTATTAGTTACTTTGCTTTTTTCCCTTATTAGTTCATATTTTCCTTACTGGAATGCAAGGGTACCAATCAAAGGAATGTTGCAAATTATGCTTTTTTTTCCTCTCTCTATCTTAAACAGGACACTTCGCAATCCAATTAAGATACCTAGAACAGGAAATTCCTGTTCCGATTAAAACAATCATCAAAAACAACAGCGGATTAAGTTTGAGACAATATGCTTCAAACCAGAAAGAACAAGGGCATGGAAAGGTTTACCACTGGTTTAAAAGTTGACTTAAGAGGTTTAATGCAAACTCTTTTGAGACAATTTTCACTATTTCAGATTTAAAGGTATCAGAATTAAGTTCAGATTTGCTTTTGTATACATTGGTATGCAACTGAAAGTATGTTTATGTTTAAACAGCATTATAGCAAACTCAAAAGATTCCACTTTTTACTTTGAAAAGTAAACAAAGAAGCAATTGCCTCCACTATATGTGAATTAAGACTGGGAAAAATACCGCTTTCTAACCCAGACACACATTTATTTCACAACAGAGGATTTTTATTGGTATTACCATTGTGTCTTCTGGCAGGCAGCTCAGAAGGAAAAAAAAGTAGTCTTTTCCTACCCACTGCAGAAGTGTACGTTATTGTCTCCTCAATCACGCTCAAGGTGAGAGAAACTTAAACCTCTCCGTTGCATGTGTCGACTGCAATTCTGAAGCTGTTTTGTCCTACAGGATGTCTGAAGTGAAAACTAATTTTATTAGTGCTCAAAAATAAAGCATAAAGTATTACTAATGTAAAAAGATGACACAACGTAGAACGAAACACCAGTTTACTTTTGAGCACTAATAAAATCAGTATTCCCTTCAAACTTTAAAATGCACCCTATTGAGAGAAGCTTCAATTGAAAAACAAGCGAATGAAATCACTACATACCAACACAATCTTCTTGTTTGTTTTCAGCTTGACATCTAAGACAGGCATCTAAAAGTAAACAAGAACAAGACTCAATTTGATTCTCAGGATTCCATCTTAAGAATAGGTTTGTCAGAGGAAAATACAAACTCTAAAACCAATTTACATAGGTAAAAATCCCAAATTTTGATGTCTAGTTCAGCCCTTTAACATTAAATAACCCCCCCAAAGTTTTAAAACAGCGCACGTGACAATGAAATAGGTATCTGAAAGAGATCACAAGGGCTATAAACTGTCCAACAAGTTTTGTTTATTTTCCATTGCTTTGTTATTTTCATAACTTCTGCTGAAAAAAAGCCTTCTCCATTTTGTAGATATAACAACCAGCAGATTTGTGCCAAGGCACTCAGGCATATTAAGACCAGAGCAAGCACAAAGCCAAACCCTAATTACAGGACTTTGTTTTTTCAGATGTCAGCATCTCCTTTTAAGGAAATCATTCACAATTTTGATTTTTTTTTTTAGGCTGTACATCTTTCACCACAACTCCCACCTCCTCCTCCTTTTTGTATGGTAGTTTTCCTTAATAAGTACCTGCATGTAATTTCCACCAGAGTCACATACACATGCAAATGTATGGGTCAATTTGGTAATATAAATGAATAGATAAACATGGAACAATACATAATTAAAAATATTTATCATCTTTATGCACTCCAGTCTGTGGCTATAGGACTGGATGACAGGTTCAGGACTCAGTAAGATACAGAAGCAACAACTTCCACACGGGCTGCCATAGACATATGCGCACATACCACGCGCAATAGCAAGTGTTCAGCTATTATGGGAGGAAACATCTGCATCCCCTCCAAAGAAAAGGTAATAAACAGAGGTGTCCCACGGATTGGATCTGGCCTACATGTCACTAGTTGGACCATATTTTCCTAGAAGACACAAACATATATGTGCTACAGGAATTTAGATTTGAGTATTTTTGTTTTCTCTGCCAGATATGGCTGGTACTTCTATTTTAGATTCATCCACCCAGACATTCCTCATTTTCTCAGGTAATAAAAACAAAGAGGACAGAAACTCTGAAACAGTTGCCCTTCCCTCACTGAGATAAAACTAAGGCAGTAAATAAAGTTTCCTGTTGTCTGTTCCTGTAATTTGTATTTCCACAGCATTTAAGGGCCAAGCTGCAGGGACGATTCAGCCAAACTGCTTCAACTTGTACCCTGGTGCATCGAAGCAAACTGATCTGGGGTCACCTCAATATGCAGGGCAGTAAGCTGTGGCAGACTAATAGTCACTATAAAAGCAGCTTTCCTGTCCTAGCCCTAGATTTGCAGTTTCAGAGAAGCAGCACGGAAAGCTGAGGACAGAAATCACTGCAGCCACACCAAGGTAAGCTGTCCCCACTCCTGCACCAGAACCCTAAGGGTGTCAGTCTGAAAGGTTAGGCAAATCTAAGTCAGTACTGCTGCAATCCTGCCTTTCCCAGCCAACACCTGCATTTTTGCTTCCTTCCCTTGTGCTTCTGTGCCCCTTGAAGACCTCGTTGGTTCAAGGAGTTAAACCAGTAGAAAATTAAGCCAGCTAACACTTCCCTCCCTTGCAAAAATCAATCAAACTAACTTTCAACAAGTGCCAGCTCAAGTCTGGCACTGCCTCCGACCTAAGGTTATGCAGACGCAGTGGCTCTACAGGAGCCAGACCGGGTCTGGCAGGGTCAACATGAAATTGCTAAACTGAAGTCAGTAATGATCAAGTTTCACGTTCTAACAATGTGGTTTGTTCTCAAAAAATGGTTACCAGATTTTCCTGCTAGTTTCAGAGGAAAAGTACTCCCTTGGTCTGGTTATGAAAAATTTAAATCAGCTTTTTCTTTGTTGGTTTTTAAACTTTTATAAAAGCACCGGGTAAGATTTTGTTCATTTAAGATTTTTTTTATAATGCCCCGTAACAGGCTAGGTAGGACAGGGAAGTACATTCTTAAAATTATGGCTTACATGGCAAATTAAGCCAATTTCATATTTCCAGGGTGGTCTCCATTCACCATATAAAAGCAGACAATCTTCAAAACATGCTTATGCAAAAGGTGAATCTCCCACCACCTCAGTCTGGGCTGCATCTTTTTTCTCCTAGTACACCCTTTTGCCTTTTCTGTTCCACAGAACGTTCTCAGTAAACACATGTATGAGAAATGACAGCATGGCATATTTTGTCTCACTTCTGTTAAGCCAAAACCTGAATGGTTTTGCAGTATCACGGTTCCCGGACCTACAAAAGCAGGGTGCTCTGGAGGGAATCTTGGGTCATTTGTCCTGCCAGACTGTACCAAGCCCAACTGAGAGGACAGTTTTGCCTAGGATGACTCAGCACAACAGTAAAAATTGGTATACAGCAGAGGAAGAATTTAAAGAATTGCCAAAGATCCAAGAGAAGCATCATATTTGTAACAGATGTCAGAAAACAGTAATGCCAGTCAGTAAGGAAGCTGCTTTCAAAGAGATTCTCCAGGTTTCAAAACCAGGTAAACTAACGCCTTACTTTCCACAGATTTTTCAGTATGTTCACATGTGTTAAACTGCACTAGCAGCGAGGAGGCTCAGGCAGAAGTGTTAGAGACTCTGGATTAACAGATTTGGAAGATGGATTTATATCCACACCCACAACTGCTGCTGCTTCTTCAAAACCAAAGCACACCGCAAAGAGCAGCGCCACACATCCAGCACTTTGGTGAGCTCGACTGTAGTGCTTGCGGGGCTTGCCG